CTTATTTGACTCTTATCTCTAACTGATTAATCAATACATTTAAATTTACAACAAGAAGCTAACATTTGAAATGCCGTTTGAAATGAAATAAATTGCTCGTTCAATGACCTACTGAGCTAGCACAGAGCCACAAAGGCTAGAAAGTCATCACTCTAGTAAGAACTTCCATATCCATCTTCTTGGAAACTTGATCTCAAGATTCACACAAAAATTAAGTACCAGATAAATTTGGTGAACCAATCTCACTTCTTACTAACATTCATTTTTTATTAGTATTAAGTGATCTTGATTTCGCAGGAATGGTCCCAACAACACATCCTAAATCATTGAGAGAAATAAATCTAAGTCGTTCAAACAATCCACAAGATAAATTGCTCATTGCATGACTAACCAATCTAGCCCAGATGCAATATGGTCATCACTTTGAGAAAATCTAGCTTTCATGTTCACCAAATAAGAAATTTGACTTAAGATCCAGTAAAATCTAGGTACAAGATATAATTGATATGAACCACTCCCGATTTGTACTCAGATGCATTTTTAGCATGAAGTCATTCAGATTTTGCGATACTAATTTTGGGCTCCCAAGGACAACCATGAAATGGTTGTCAAGTTTGCACTAGACAACCATGAGAGAGGTAAATCACTAGACAAATTCTCAAGTTTGCACAACCATTTCTACACCACTACATACATGAAATCATTTTTTTAATTGATTGATGTGCGTGTCCTCCCTGAACACAAATCTTGAGAAAATAGTAGATTGATCAAACATCATTAGGGTTTCAAAAAAGAAACATTAATTGCACAATCACTGGAGCTAAGCTAGCTAGCCTCAAGATTAGAATATCACCATTTTTAAAAACATGGATGACTCCCACAGTCCCACTTGCCACATGAACTAAGATCTGCCATAATATAAGGATGAGGGGTGTTTGGAACTGATTCTGCTTCTGCTTCTTTTTTAAAAGCAGAAGCAGAATCAGAATCAGTTTTCAGAAGTTGGTATCTCTCAGCTTCTAAAAAAACTGATTCTGAGAGTAAATTAGAGCTCCAGAAGTGCTTCTGGAATTTTATCCAAACATTCCAGCTTCTGTTTCTGCTCCCTAAAGGAGCATAATCAGTTTTGAGAATCAGATCCAAACACCCCTAAGTGTGGGAAGTGATCCACATTCACTATTCTCATTTGGCACATAGCTTCTTTATTTTCATAGGAAAGGGTTGTTTTCATTGAAATAAAATTCACATTTGTATGCCTAGATTTTTTTTTATGAAATTCTAAACACGATTCAACTGTATTCTTTCGTCACTAGCAGTATTGATAGATATTTTAGAAGAGGTAGGCCCAATAATTGTTCAGCTAATTAACAACCTTGAATAATTGGACTTCGTATTAAATAATTGGGTTGAAGTGATTTGACGAATTCGTAATTAGTGCGGGAATTAGGTGTATATATCTTATCAAATCTAATCAATTAAAATTAAAATATGTAAGATTTAACAACGACATGCCTCCTGTCCCAACTTGTCACTCCACTTTCTTGTTTAGTTTGTTTCACAATGATGTCCATAGTTAACCATACCTAGTTTTATGACCTCTGGTAGAGGTTCATGGACCTAGCTAGGGAGTCAGGGATGACATCAACAATGGCTTGGACCGGACCATTTTCGATCGTGAATCCGTGACGGTAGCAGCTTAAAGTACTTGCTAACGGTCAAAGCATGATAAGGTTGGATTAAATCGGTACAAAGATCGTTCTTTGGCAAAAAATTTTACATGTTTTTCTACACCACTAATTATTTTTTCTTTTTGAAATTTGAGATGAGCTCGCGCCAAACATGCCTCTAGCTCAAATTTAATGATTAGGAGGTTATGGAAATCAAAGGTTAGATCACACTCACAATTTACTTTATCAAGGGAATGAAATGAATTTTGAACGTTCATAAATACTACGTATTTCAATAACATCAAGAGTTATTTAGTTTAACAAAAAGAAAAAATGGATGGAGATAATGACTTCATTAAGTTCGACTAGACGTCCACTTGGAAGTAATGAGTAGACTATCTTGAATATTTATATTTTTAAAGTGAATGCAATTATGAAAGAAGAACATACTTAAAGAATAGTAGTCATTCGATCAAGTATTAAAACGTATTGTCTTAAAAAAAAAGGCATTTGAGTGAATCTCCATCCAAATCATACTCCGTATACCAAGTTGGAAGAAAGGAGGACTAAAGAAAAAATAGAATATAGGTAAATTGGAAGATCGAGCTATTTTCAATTTACCTATTTAGTAAAACTTCAAAAGCACACGTGTGTGAATGTGTGTATGCTTGTATTGATAAAAGTAAAGCAACCAACCAATTGAAATAAAGGTAGCGAACTGATCTCTTAAATTTGCCAGCGATGTTTATACTTATATGGTTAGCTACTATTGAAAAATTTGTATACTCGTATTAAATTAATTCTTTTGATGCATCATGCATGCAACATAATCAATGTGCTATGTATTTAGACGAATTTGATGAAATTCAATGGCAAAATCTATTAAAGTTGATGAGATTTAGAGCGAAGAGTGGCTGTAATGGAATGAATCTTGTGAATTTATAGAAATATTATATGGAGTATTTAAAATCCATTTTATTAATAAAATTAAGATCCAGTTATGCTCCGTATGAAAATAGTTAAAATGATCATGTATAGTAGCTTGATCCATTCAGATAGAAAAATATTTTCAACCTTACTTGTTTTGATTAACACATAATTCAAAGCACGAAACCAATATGTTTGTAAAAAGATCGTCTGGTAAAGTGATAAGCCAAAAACATGGATTATGAAACGGGTTCTACGTCTGGCATCTATTGTCTAGTATCTAACTTAAGCATACTGACCAAAGATGCATATTTAACTCTAAGCATTACGAGCACCTTGATCCTAATAAACATGTCATCCTTTGAAAAGTTTAGATGATTTTGAATTCAAATCATCTAAACTTTCAAAAGGATCTTTGCTTTCCGCAGTGATACTCTCTAACAGAGGAATTCAAATCATTTAATATAGGTAGAGATTAGTATATAAATAACTCTAAATGACAAAAGATTAATTAATTTGATGACAAGATAAAGAATGAATATAATATGTCATCTTCTATACAGATCAATTGTTGAAAAGCTTGATAATTTTCAATTCAAGGCAAACTTAAAGAGTGTTTGGAATTTATTATGCTTCCGCTTCTTTTTAAAAACAGAAGCAAAATCAGAATCAGTTTTTCAGAAGCTTGTTTCTACAATCTTGTAAAAGTAATATGAAGCATCCAGAAATACTTGCATTTTCACCAAAACACTCCAATGTTTTAAGAAATACTTGGTAGATCCAAACTCCCCCTTATTTGAGACTTGAGAGCTATCATTCAGTCATATTCACACATACCTTATTACTTCCTCCGTTCTTAAATAAGTGCAACACTTTCCTTTTTCGGCAGTTTCAAATTAATTGCAACATTTCTATTTTAGGAAATATGTTACAGCCAAAATGACTTCTATATCCTTATTTATTTAACCCACCAGGCCACCAGCCATGAGGCCATCAATTCATCACCGCCCACTCATCATTTTAATTCTTCCACATCTCACCACCCACCACATATTCTAACAGCCCACCACCGGCATATTCTACCCTGTTCATTTCAGCTTGCTCGTCTATCAGTGTAGCCGATTTCATCAATCGTTACCTAATTTGTTCCCCATCATCTTCATCTGTTATTTATTTTTCAAATTTCTTGTTTAATTTTTACTAAACAGAGGACACGGATGACAACGATGTTGATTTTTCTCTGCTTACTACCCTCGAGCTACAACCTCGGATTGTGAATTTGTGATCCTGGATACTCTGCCAAATATTCTTACAGGCAGTAGGGCTGGTGGTTTAAGATCAACAAGAATATCTCCCAGCGAAATAGGTGTCTTATCTGTCCATGCTGCGTTTATTTTCTGGGGAAGAAGACCACTTGAAGTTTTCTGTTCGTATTTGTGTTTTTTTCCGGTGAAGGAGGTCGCATTAAGGAGGTGGCGTTTATTTTCCGGTGAAGAAGATGGCGTTTGTTTCCAGCGAAGAAGGCCAGTTAGCATTTGCCGGCCATACAGTAAAACGTACTGTAGCACTTTATGTGTGGTACAGAGTACAGACTGTTGTTCATATCTGTGTACTGAAGGGCAAAAGTGGAAAGTAAAGCCTTTTCCCTTTGCTTCTTAATCTCTGTGCCGAGTGCTATGTTGCACTTATTACCGAACAGAGGAAGTATACAAAAACTCATACATCAAGCAAAACCTTTACACTTCTACCACGACCACACATGTAGCCAGGGGTGGAGACAGGGAGGGGCTGGCGGTGGCCACGGCCCCGCAAGAAAAAAAATCTTAAGTATATATCATGTAAAAATACTTTTAATCTGTAGAAAGTATGTTGATATTTTAAACATTGGCCCCTGCAATGTAAAATTGTTAAGGACCGGCCCCTTTAACCCTAAATGTTTGGCTCCGCCACTGCATGTAGCACCACAAAACATCGTGTTCAAATTCACAAGAGCTTTTTCCATTCTAACTTTCACATGAAGTAATATGAAGAAATCATTGCGTCAGGGTCACAATTTCGCCACTCAATATATTCATGTTTAAAACATTTTAGAAATTAGTGAGAAATAATTAAATACTCCGTATCAATCAACTTCTAAAACCATAAGCTAAACAGGATGCATTTCAGATAACATAGAACTACTAGTAGTATTTTCTTGAACCTAAGAGCGTTCAAAAGCTTGTTCGAATTGACTGTCACAATTGTATTTCATTTTAGATTTGGACGATTTCCCTTTGGTGCACAAACCACCGGGAATATACCATAAAAACGTTTGTGAGTTTCAAAACATTTTTACTCCTATTTCGGGATTTCGCGGATTTTGCACAACAAACGATCATATAAAAGAAACAAAAAGTAAAAATAAGAGCGAGATCCATTGGGAAAGAAGCTCATATTTGGTAAACTTCAATGGGGGAAAGATGGGATTTTGTACATAAATGCTTTATTCTTTCTACACCAAACATGGGGATTGATCAAACTTCCTCAACTTAACAAGAATACTTCCTAATAATTATTGCAACATTTTTTAACATGAGAAAATCAGAACCAAATTAAGCAACGACCCAAATCAAACCATCTTTCCCTCTTTCAGGAGGAAAAAACTTTAAAAAGAAAAAAGATGAAGGAAGGGAATAGAAAAAGAAAAAGACGACTTTCTAAGAAAGAAAAGAGCAAAAGACAGGATTTGACTCATTTTAGGGTCCGTCTCTTTCGCTGTCCCTCACTCACTCCACACAACCAATCAGCACAGCACAGCACAGACCGGCCGTTACACTGCCGAGTCGACTCACTACGACTCGTCGAGCTGCCATGCCGACGTGGCAATGAGCGGCCGGGTGTGCCAGCCCAGCATCAAGCACCCGTCGTTCTCCTCCACCCGGTACCCGTCCCCGCCGGCGAACACCTCCAGTAGCATACTCGCCTGCTTGAACGCGTTCGAGCCGAGGTGGACCGGGCCGAACCCGGCCGCCTTCATCCTCCGCCTCCACTGGCTCAGGCTCTCGTGACGCTCGGCCCGGTCCGCCCCTTCGCAAGCCACCACGTTACAGATCTGCTGGCCGAGGTAGATCTCCGCCATCTCCAGGTCCTGGATTTTGACCTGAGTCAACCCGGGGCTCGCCGGCGAGTCGGCCTTCAGCCGGGAACTCTCCAGGGAGTCGAACATTGTTGAGTAATAATGCAGAGCCTCGTTGAACCGGTCCAGGAAAACGTCGCCGTTGTGGTTCGCTTCCTGTTCGACGACGGTCACGATCTTCGGCGACATCCCTTTGACGGAATCCAGCACCTTTTCTATCCCGCCGGGCCGGCCCAACAACCTGTGCAGGTCGAAGACGGAGTTGACGGCGACCGCTTCGATGTTTCTGGGTCTGATGTCTAACATTGCTGCGTCTATGTCCGTCAGAGAGTTCGCCATGAATCCACGGAATTCGAATTCAACTCCCATTCTTTCTGCGAATTGAGCAAGTTTCCACCCGACTTCCTGAAGGGCGTCGGTGTTGTCCGGCTGGGGAGGGCCGATTCCGGTGAGTCTGAAGGCGGGCGGGCCGCCGGGTCTGAGAGCTAACGCTTGAATCAACGGCGGCCACTGCATCCCCTGTTTCAGGCTGAAGTCGATGACGTGGACGCGGGAGGAGCCGGCGAAGGCCTCCAGGATGGCTTGGTTGGCCGTGAAATGGGCGAATTTCAGGTACGGGCAGGCGTCGTAGAAGTGCATCTGAAGAACGTCGTTGTAGGTGGCGTCGAAAGGGGTGTCTTTCGGGTAGTTTTTGTAAATTCGCTGGCTGAGGGCGACTGCGAAATACGAGGCCACTTTCCTCATGGCTCCGGCCTGAGAGACGGCGAGAATTCCGATGTGTTTCAGCAGCGCGTCTGCTAGCTTGAAATTCTCCTGCTGGATGGCTTCGGCGCAAGCCATCAGGGTATGTACAAGACGGACGCCGGCTTCTTGAGAATCTACCAGCACCACCGGCCGGGGAACCTCCGGAGCCACCGGTCCGCCACCCATCCCCGCCGTTGAATCGCCGGAGAAACTAGATCCGGCTGAGGATTTCTGTCGTTTATACGTTGGAGATGGTGAAGGCTGCTCTTTTACCTTCTGCTCTCTACTGGTGTTACCGAAAATAGCGCCGCCCGGAATCGCCCTCAAATCGTCATCGGAAATCCTCCCAACATTTTCGCTCTCTCTGTTTGAGAAGCAAATCATAGAGGGAGATTCTCCTGGTAAAATTATTTTGTCCCCGGAGACGGTGCAAGGGGATTGGTGATGAAAGGCGTCGAAATTGGGCGAGGAAGAGGAGGAATCGTTGTCGCCGTTGAGTTCGAAGAGCATGTTTTGGATCCAGCCAGGTAGATCAGAAGGGTTGAAGTGAACCGTGGAATTGGAAAGATGGGAAATCCCATCCTCCATCGTTGTCCCCATCGCCATCTCCAGCTGCTCAAGCTTCTGAGCTACGTCCGCCATGTCTGAGGACTTGACTTTGTAGCCCAACACGGCAAGTAGCTCGTCCATCCCCGCGTCTGGAGGCGATTCTTCCCAAATCTTTCCTTTACCCATTGAAGATCTCTCCTCCTTCAGTCGATCGCGTTCCCTCTTCATTGTAATTCTGATTCGAAGCAGAAATTGATTCGAGAATGTTGGATTATTTCATGTGGGATTTCGGAGCAAATCTTTAGAATTTCTAAGATCCACCGATTTCAGCTGTCTGGGGTTTCTTTATAAAAGGTTTACTGTTAGTAGTTTTTCTAATTTTCTGTGAATTCGAGAAGAAAAGAGTGCTTTATGAAGGGGCAAACTTCATGAGAGCAATGTATGGAGGAGATAAGGAAGAGGAGCCAGCCAGTAATAGGGTTATGGCTTGTCTATCCTTTTCCCCTTTTTATTACTATCGTATATATTTTCATTTCTTTTTTCTCCGCGACTAATATGAATTCCAATTTTCAAATAATTTATTATTACCTCCGTTTCATATTGATTGTCCACTTTCAATTTGGCACGATTATTAATAATGTGGTTGAAAAATAAAAGTTGTGGTTGTGATTTGAGTAGAATAAAGTGAAATGATAAAAATCACACATTTCTTGCCAAAAAAAGAAACAAAACATTCATTTTGGGACAAACAAAAAAGGAAAGTAGGACAACCAAAATGAGACAGAGGGAATATTTCACAAGCCATTTCACAAGTCAAATTCAGTCATTTTTTTTGGTAAAAAGTCAAACTCAGTCATAACCATAGATATATGAAGTATAAATTATAGGAAAATTCTTTAGGCACACAATGGGTTACACTCTGGATTACACCATATATAACCCCCTCTTCCCATTTTTCATTTCTTCCCTTTCCACTTTTTTCTCTCTCTTCTCTCTAAACTCTCCTCTCTCCCCTTCTCTCTATTTTGCACCATACGAACCCTCCTCCCCCTCTTTTTTCTTCTTCATCTTGTTGTTTCTTTCTTCCTTTCTCCTTCATCATCTTCTTCTTTTTCTTTCCTTCTCCCTTTTTCTTTCCTTTAATGTTTTATTAGCTAAGTTTAGAAACAATTACTTTGAATCATTGTTGTTCATTATCTTCATCAGCTTCTTTCATTCCTTCTCTCTTTTTACGTTTTATGCACACCGACATTGGTTTGCTTTCGGTATCGGTGTACACCGACGAAGATTGTATATGTACAGACACTTTTGTTTCTACACAGACAACTAATATCTGTGCACACCGACGAATATTGTATGTGTACATACACTTTTTTTACACAGACAACTAACGTCTGTGCACACCGACGAAATTCTATATGTACTGACACTTTTTTTCTACACAGACAACTAATGTCTGTGTACACCGACACTGGTTTCCCAACCCCCTGAACTTGCAAACCAATTTTGTTCACACCGACACTTTTTTGTCTACACAGACAACTAGTGTCTGTGCACACCGACATTGGTTTTCGTGCAACCAGCCTGGCAGATCTAGCAGATATGCAAACTCACACCGGCAGTTTAATCGAAAGTGTCTGTATTCTTACGTTGTTTGTCTGTGTGAACGGCAAATAAATGGGGTGTACCCCAGGGTGTAACTCAGGGTGTACACCAAGAAGGATTATATGCCTCTAAACCCTTTTAATTTAAATTAGGAAAAATTGACAAAAATAATCTTACCTTTTACTGGTATTCTCATAATAATTCCACCTTTAGGTAATCCTAGAATAATCCCCCATTCGCACCTCATCTTCTTTCATTTGACTCTGACAATGTTTTTTACTCTTTTTTTGAAAACCATATAAATAATCTCACCTTTCACTTTTCTACATTCCCTCGCTCGCAACCAATTATTCTCAAAGCGGAATTTTCTTCCGGTTCTACCGTAAATAGTAGGGTGAATTTTAATAAATAAAGCCATGTGGTCACTAACTGGGGCTTCCACCGATGTCGCTCTAGCCTCCATAAAAATATCCCACCATTGATCATTAACTAAAATCCGGTCAAGTTTTTCTTCAACCTAATTTTGCGTCCCTTACCTCGCTCCCACGTCCATTGATACCCATCAAACGGAAATTCTCTCAACCCACTGGATAGAACCACCTCGCGGAAACCCCAAAGTCGCCATGGAGGATGAGGAATTTTCCCCTTTTTTGAGAATCATACAGAATATCATTCATGTCCCGCATAACTAGCCATGCCAAGTTGTTATTCTCGGCCAGCCTCTGCAACATCTCTCACGCCGCACGTCGCCTTAATTACTGTTTCGGGGAACACATAGAAACCCGTGAATCTCCCTGTCACACTGCCTTCGGGCTTGCATATTTGACAGTCCACAAAGTTAGGATTTAATTACGTTATCGTAACATCAAAATCCTCATTCCATCCCAGCATCACACCGCCTCCCTGTTCGTCTGTGTCAAAACCCTCGGCGTTCACATATCCCAACGAATGTAGAACATCTCTTGCACGTTGACATCTCAGCTTTGTCTCCATAAAAAAAACAATGGAAGGTCAATGTTGGTGAATCAAATCCGTCAAGCATTGCATAGTTGCTGGATTTCCCAGCCCCCTACAATTCCACAAAATAATACTCATAAATGGCCCCACACAACAAATTCCTTCACTCAAACCTCCACGACGAGAGCCTTGTTCAAGAGCCGTAGCCTTCGACGACGGCTACCGAGCCAAAGAGAAGACAGGATGAAGGAGTAACCTCGGTGCCGTAACCGTAAACGATCACCACCGGACAAACTAGGCTAAGCGTTGCCTTACGGGAACCCTAGAGAGAGAAAATTTTCCGTTTACTTGTCAGTAACTTCGTCAAATCTTTAAATTGCTACTTTTAAAACTTTGAATGTAGTTTTTAAATATGACATTTTTATACTCCGTATAGTAAAAATATTCTTTTACTCTTATTAATAATAGAGATCGGATAACTTTATGATTGATTAAACATCGTAAATCTCGTGAGAACCACTGAGTGGCCTACTAGAATAGCATATCTACTCTCTTTATATTGCATTGAAATGTTTTTACCTATAGTACTGGGTCTTAATTCATCTTTTTAATTTACGATCACAACTATTGAGCCTTTCGCTCGACGATCGGTAGGGATACTGGAAATGGCAGATTTGTAGCAACCACATGGCAAATTGTGTTTTGCACTCAAACTTGTGAATCCAACCACAAACTACACACTTCAACTACCCCTTGCATCCGCAACAATGGCAGAACTACAAGTACGTTTAAGCGCCCCCTTTTCTTATCAGAAGTCCTAGGGGTACACAAGTTGTACACAACTTCTACACAAAATGTTGGTCGCAGATAATTGGTAATGAGTTGCCTGTGAGCACAAACAACTTTTGTCTTTGTTCACACACATTTACTTTTGTGTAAAAAGTACACTGACAACTGCTTGACACTGACACGAGCTTGCAAATCAATCTATATATGTGCAGTGCTTGTGTGCACAAACAATATTTTCGCCACTACAAAAAAACATGGGAGTGGCAGAGATTTTGGCAGGGATATGCCAAATCCGTCCCAAAAACACTTTGTCACGAGCTATTTGGCACGAAAAATTGATAAATCCGTGCCAAATTCCGTGCCGATCCCGTAATTTGTTTGTAGTGCATGTTGCACAGACAATTATTTGTTTATGTGCACAAACAATATTTACCACACGCATAGACAATAGTTGTGCGGCTCACAGACAATTAATAGTTATCTGTGTGATCAACTACTTTAGTTGTCAGTGTGGTCAATTTTAACTGTCTGGGTGAGCAAAAAAATTAATTGTCTATATACATCTAAATGAATGATGTAGTTATATGTGTAAGCAATTTACATGTAATTTGAAAAAAATTTAGAAAAATAATAAAAATAGATGAAATAAAATGAATAAGTTGATTTTGTGCAAATAATGAAAAGGATTTGATATAACAAGGTAGAGAAAAAGAGGATGAAGAAGGAAAAGAGGGGATGAAGAAGATAAGATGATCATCCCATTTTTGTTTTTTGAGATTTTTAGAAAAAAAAAAAGGAGAGAGGAAAGAGAGAAGGGAGAGAGGGGGAAGAGAGAAGGAAGAGAGAATCGAGAGAGAAGAGGGAGGGGGAAATGAGATTTTTTTTTTTTTGCTTTTATACCATGCTTGTGTATCACTAATCATTTTTTTCTCATAATACAACACATAAGTGCATTATTGTTGAAAATATACAATTTGTACATGCTTTGGATGTACACCTCGCTGTATATATACACTTATATATGAGAGAATTTGACTTGTTTTTGTCATAGACCGTTTGAATCAAATTATCTAAAATACTGGGAAAATATGGATTTTTATTTGGGGTTTTTTGAAAACTATTACCAAAATAAAACATATTCACATAAATATGACTATTCATTACTACAATATGGTGTTGTGGTAACTTAAGATCAAAACTTGAACATGAATTACTATGATTTCAATACTACTCTAGTCACTAGTTATATTTGTGTAAATCATCTTTATTTTGGTTATATATATGTAATTATTTCTTTTTATTTTATTTCACAAATAAATTTTGTTGTGAACATATACACAACTACACAAGACAGGTGCACTCACAAGGTCCTCGAACTTTCATAAAAAAGTCAATTAAGTCCTTCTATAGGAGGTTCTGTCCGGCCATCGCGATTTGGGGCAGTTCCCGGTGGAATTTTTTTATGAAATTTTTTAGCATCTTATTCATCAAGTCTAATTTACTCATACCAAATTTCAACTAAAAATTCAATCAGGAACACATTCAAATTAATTCTTGAAGATAACTGCGCATTTTTGCGTTCTCAAATTAATTTGAATGCACTCCTGATTAAATTTTTAGCTGAAATTTGGTATGAGTAAACTAGACTTGATAAATAAGATGCTCAAAAAATTTCATCAAAAAATTCCACCAGGAACTGCCCCAAATCGCGATGACCGGACAGAGTCTCCTTTAGAAGGACTTAATTAACTTTTTTATGAAAGTTCGAGAACCTATTTGAAAGTTTTCCCTTATAACTTTGTTATTGTGGTTACCAAAGTAGTACGGAGTATTACGTTACCTCAAAAGGCAATCACTCAATTCCATATGCATACCCTCAACACTGTCCTTTATTAGTTACCATCATTGACTTTTACATTTTTAACATATTCTATTTTAATACTCCATAAAATACTACTACCTCCGTAACATATATATCTTCCCGTTTAAAAGTAGGTGAAATTAAGAATAGTGCAAGAGAATATTAGTTATTGAGGGTATGACGGGAAAATAGTAAAATAGTGTGCTGGAATGAAGGATAAATCCAAAACAAGTAGTTGTAATAGTGTATTATTTTCAAAATTATTGAGGGTGTGATGAGAAGATTTAGAAATGAGAAGATATGAATATTACAGAAGAAAAAGAAAAGTGGGAATATATGAATGTTACAGAGGGAGTATTTCTTTTCATCCTTTTTATTTACTCCCTCCGTTCCTGAAAATACTTCCAACTTTCTCTTTTCGTTCGTTCAAAAAAGAACTTCACTTTCCTTTTTTTGTAAAAGATTTGTGGTTGACAACATTTTTCTCTCCTCTGCACAACTCTCCACCACACAATTCTTACTTTCTTAATCCGCGTGCCACTTTATTTTGGAAGTAAATTCAGGGACGGAGGTATTATCATTTTTATGCATATCTTATCATTTATCTTCTCTCTTTTTATCCTTCTAATCATTATGTTTTTTATCCTTTTATCTTTTTATTATATACCCCGTCATATGAACATAAATTCTTTTTCTTTTTTATCATACGTATCATGTTTAGAGATATGTTATCTCTATTTTATGTTATCTTTTTTAATCATATGTAAATTTTTTTTATCTTTTTTATGTTTGTTTTCCTTTTAGCTCTGGATCATGTACATATTCGTTAGCTGACATCAAAATCTTTTGAACTTAAACTTGAATGTTGTTGATTTTGTTGATGAACAAAGTTAAAAAATATGACTGGTTTTTTGTATTCCTTATTTCGAAAAACGAGTTATTGATTACGGAGTACTTCTTATTTGAAAAGAAAGTAATAACCTCATGATGAGAAATTGTGTTACATTTTCTCCACAAAACATAAAATCTAGTAAAAATCCCTAATGGATACAGAGTATTTTCTTTTAAATTCCCCCAAAGGTACGTTTCAATGATGGAAGAGTGCAGCCACTTGACGACAGTCGACGGGACCTATAGGCGACGACAACGCCATAGCCAGGCATGGGATTCATGGGTTATATTGGTCTACACCATTAGGGTACCCAGAATAACCCAGGAACATGGCTTGTCCAAGGAATCAACATTGTATATCTAACACAAGCCGGGGGGCACACACCAAGATTTTGAAACACTTCCTCCAAACTTGCATTTTCCTTATTTCTCAGTTTCTCCATTTCTGTAATTTTTGTTCTTTTATTGCTATAGAGAAATAATAATGCCCGGTGACAAGGTTTTTGGTACAAATTAAATTTCTCATAGTTATTTATTTGTTTACATTATATATTAATCACTGGTGTTAAGTTATAACCTATTAATCGCGTCATTGCCCAAATACTTTGATGCATTTTTAATCCATATTTTTAACTTTGCTATACTTTCTTTTTTGGATGTATTTATAAGTTTGCTACATTTTACTCCCTTTTGGTAAGTTTTTTCTTAAAAAAAAAAACTCTATTATCTTTACTTTTTTTTTACCTTTTATCTTCTCTTTCACACTTTTCTACATTATTTGCTACTTTTTCTACACTATTCATTATCTCTACAATTTCACCCTTAAATGTTGTGCCAAAACCTATGGTAGAGAACTTTCAAATACCGAGGGACTATCAATTTCGATCATATCAGACTATGAGACTACACCAAAAAAATTCAGTTGAATTTAAAACATCACACCTACTTGGTGTTACACAAAATTTCACAAGAAAGTGACCTTATAGTCACCCACTTAGTGTTGCTATTGGGATTAAAGGTCCAATTATATAAAAGACTAATAAATAAATGTCACATAATTAAAAGGATAATAATAAGGTTCGAATGAATATCTTAAGGTATGTAATAATGTACAAGGCATGGAGTATGCACGGGCGGAGGCAGGGGGTCATGCCAGCCCCCGATTCAGACCACTCCAAATTTTAAAAATGTTTGTATAATAGTGTAAAAAATGGTGTAATTTTTTTTCTTAATTTTCTTATACCAAACCAATCCAAATTTAGTCCTGATTATGCCCTTGAGGCCTTGACGTACGTGAGCTTGTCCAACGTAACAATGAGAAGGTTCGAACCCATGTAACAATGAGAGGATTCCAACTTAATAATCACACGGAATGCAACAGCTGGACGTATCGAAATGGGCCAATATTCTTGGGCTGGTAGGGGATGGGTTGTTTCGATGGGGTGATGCCGTGTTTTGTAGGCTGATGGAGATTCTGGCTACAGTGGAGTCCTTTTTGCTTTTGTGGGCCAACGCCATCTAATTTTCTTTTCTATACTGGACGTTAGGGGTGGACAAAAATACCGAACCGAACTGGTATGGTACCGGACCGATAAATGGGGCTTGAAACAGATCTCAAAATGTTTTGTCCCGAACCGGACCGTACCGGTTCCAAACAATGCCATGACGGGTTCTCATAAAATGAGAACCGGTACCAGACCAAACCGGACCAAACCGGACTGAATTATAGTTTAAATATTTAAATTTGTACTACTATAGTTTATCTGAAATTTATTAATTACCTCATCCGTCCCAAATTGATTTGCAAAATCAACATTTTTT